TTGGTGTCTTCATTCTAATGTTTATTAAAATGTTACTGTCACTGCCAGTCTGAGACTGTGAATCAGAACTAAGAATGTGTAATAGTTTGTTTCACATTTGAGTAAATTTCTTTTACTACTTATACACTATTATGGATAGTGTTGATCTGAGTTGAAGTTTAGGTTTGGCGATACAGAATGCCACTAATTTGAGTCTTCTTTTATTGCCATCTGCTGTGGGTGTTGCATCCACAAACGTGTTTGTTGGGGTTTTTTTCGGAATCTGTTTTTGTGGTGATAGAGAATAAGCTGATGCATCTGGAAAGCATCTTCTCTTGGGGTATTCATTGTATCAACCCGTAATGTATACTTCAATGCTTTCTTGCCTGAGTTGTTTTTTGGTAAGTTGTGAAAAATCCATGCTTTGCCATTGCAGTGATAGAGCACAGAGAGAAGAACAGTCTGAGCACCTACAGCAATCTCCTGAAAGGCAGGTGGTCTGGTGGCTAAAAGCTTTGTTAAACCTGAAATGTGCAATATCTATTTGTTGTGGATCTGACAGTAATTAAGAATAATTTTTTGAGGCAGTCATCGATGTAAGCCACTCTCCTTTTACTCCTCACTCAATATCTGTGTGAAGTGGGTTTAGCTTACTGTCAACTTGTACAAAGCAATAAAGGGCACTTGCTTTTTCTTCAGACACTGCATGGCTGGAGTGAAAGCACTGCAACCCTACAGATACTGTGTGTAGAGCACAGGCCAGCTCCAGAACCTGTACTACCTGGAGCAGCTGTGAGTTTGATAATGAAGCTGCTGCAAGTAGGTGCTGGGGCTGGTGGCTGATCCTTGCTGAGGTTTGCACCATCTCTCAAGTTCTTAGCATTGTTGGCAGCCATGGGGATACTTCATTAATTCCCAAGTAGCGTGAATTAAGCAACCGTCCATATGCAGTTGGTGCTGTAGTTACTTCAAATGCTAAAATGTTTTGTCCTATAAGCTACAGAATTCTTAACATGGAAATCCTGAAGCTGCCAAGGCACTTCACATGATGCTAAAGGTTGATGAGATCTCATGCAGGTTAACAGAGGGAAAGTCGTGGTGATAAAACAGAAAGAAGTCCACCATCCTTGCCTACCCACTATCTGCAGCATCTAGGAAGTGATGCAAAAATGGCAACTGGTTATCTAGCTCTGCAGTGCATTTTAATGCACTGGAAAAAATTCCTGTAATTGAATATACTTAGGTGGTGACCAAGCTGTTGCCCTCAGGTCACCAGGAAGGTGGTGGAGTCACCATCCCTGGAGGTATTCAAAAAACATGTAGACGTGGCACTTCAGGGCATGTTCTAGTGGGCATGGTGGGTTTTTTCTGAGTTAACTTGGTGATCTTGGTGGTCTTTTGCAGACATGACAATTCTGTGATTACATAAAAAACTCAGGTATCATTTGGCCGTCTTTTGTTATGTTAACTAAGTAGTTTATGAATGGCATCTGTGAAATGGCAGTTTGGTTGGCCATTTTCATGAAAGAAATGATGGATAAGGTGTGCTGGCTAATAATGGCAACAAAAAATACTAAACTTAAGCTAAATGCAAACACATTACATTATTATCAAGACAGTCTGATTCAAGTACTTTTCTTCTTTTTAGCTTTCACACTTTTGTAAGTCAGTGTCTATCTGTGATTTGTTATCAGTGGGACTTACATGGATCTGTGTTTAAGGCAAAGGGAAATCTACCTCAGAACTCACCAGCTCACATTAGATCCGCATACTTGCTGTCTCTTGCCTCTGTTTTTTGCAGCTCACTGGATAGTATGGCTATCCAAGTACTTATTGTGCAAGGAATGATACCTTAAAGGACTGAAATTGTAATTAAGTATTATTGAGGTTATTGGGAGGATCAGCAAATCATATGAAAATAAAGTGCCTACTAAGCCACGTTTTCCAGAAAGTATTCTCCAGCAAAAGTTGTTTTGTTTATTTTTGAATTGACAGTGATAAATTCTCCCACTTGGTGTATTAGCAAGCTGAAATTGCTCAAGAAATAAAAAGCAAGAAAGCTACCTTTTGACAGACAACTTCCAGTCCAGTTTATAGACCAGAGGATTTATATATTTTAATTACTGAGTTAGTGGATAAAGCAGCCGCTTTGGGCATTCCAAAGTTTCTTAAAAAACTGAATAATAATGAAGAGATTTGAGTTTGGTGGGTTTTTTCCCCAGCTGCGCAGCTGGGGCGTGCCGGTATCTCCAGCCCCTGCCCTGCCACCTGGCTGTCCCAGCCACTTGCTCTTAGTTCATTCAGACTTTCTTGGTGTTGTTTTCCCGAGGAAGAAGGTTTTTGTGACTCTCTAGGTAAAACAGATCATAGGAGAAGCTGCAGTAGGTGGATGGCCCGGGCGGCAGCACGTGGAGCGCCGTGCGCCTGCGGGAAGCGCAGCCTGAGCCTCGCAGCTCAACACTGGGCACCAACATTGCTGCTGCTGCTGTCGGCAGCTGACTCTGTGACCCCTCTGTCTTGTCAGTTTACACATAAGGAAACATTTTTCCACCTTTCAAAGGTGTGGTGGGGATTAATTTAGCTTTACAAAGTGCTTTTTGATTCCCAACTGAAAACTACTGTGGTAGCTCGAAATACACTGATGAACCAGCACTGGTTGAAGAGCTTTGATGTGTGTCAGTGTATTTGTCAGAACAGTTTATTTGACAGTGATTTATTTTTGCTTACCCTAACTTTAGGACTAAGCCAGTCCTTTGTATTCCTTCTCTAGGTCCTTCTGCCTCTCTCTTGCACACACTGACTAAGTTTGAAATAAAATATCTGCTGAATAAATAATTAGAATCGGTATCTTTCATGTTTCAGTGTGCCCATCATGTTATACTGCCAGTCTCTATGTACTGACAGTTTCATTAGATGAGCAGTACAGTAAACTAACACACTAGCTGCAGATAGGACTAGGAAGGGACTGCCTTCTAGAATAATTCTTCTGTGCCACTTGGAAACGCTGTACCTTTTTCCTAAGGAAAAACAAATGAAAGATAGAAGAGTGGCAACAGACACTTTGGATTAATTCTGTGGCCACATGGCAAATGCATTACTTGTAACAGTTCTCTGTCTCCAATGGATGAAATAAAAATCGCAAGTTAAAAGTGTTTTCATCAGCAGTGTTAGTATTTTAGCACTGGCTTCCACTCTTTCTCACAGCTTTTAACAGAACAATTTTAGAGCCCTATGGTTTTTGTTTCAGTCTCAAGTTTCCAGTTGATACCATGTGTGTGTTTGAGACTCTAGCTGAGAATATTTTGCAGTAGTTCTTTATTGTATGATGATAATGCTTTCACATAAATCTCCAGTATCTTAATAAAAAGTTCATCAAGTTACATTACCTTTATATGAAAATGCTGATTCTTTGTGTTTCCCCACTTCTATATGTCTGTCTACAAATTTATCTAAGGGCTTGGACTTGGCTGACGTAGCAAATGGGATGTTGTTTGGGAGCACAAGGTTGAAATTAAGTGAATGTAAGTTAAAGTCAAGCAGAGAGCCCTAGCAGTGACACCTCAAAGGCTGTGGTACAGTCTTCCAAAGAAAGCAGTAGATGATTCACCATTTTGGATGTTTCGATCCAATCTAGAAAGCTGCAGTAAATATATTGTAGGGAACATTCCTGCACTGGCAGGGGGGTAGACTAAATGAGCTATTAGCAGTAGCTTTTTTCCATGTCTGACTGATATTTGGCCGGGAACATGTTTAATATAGTCGCCAATTTTTCTTCTTTTTTTTTTTTTTTTTTTTTTTTTTTTTTTTTTTTTTTTTTTTTTTTTTTTTTTTTTTTTTTTTTTTTTTTTTTCCTTCACTTGGAGAGCACTGATGACATTGGCAGAAGAAATCTTTCCTGTGTTTGAGAAGGGTTTGTGTGGCAGAGTTGTCCCAAAACCAGACTATTTTCAGAGAAGTCACAGACACTGATAGCCTTAATCCTTTCCTAAAGCTTTTTTGAGAAAGTTTCATAGGATCTGACTCGTGAGAGGGTGTGGTGGTATTGGAGATATCTGTGGATTAGCTGCTACACATATTTTCTGGTCTTTTAAATTCAAAGTCAAATGATACTGGATATACTAGTAGTGCCATTTTTTTGTTTTAGTGTATGATTCATAGCTTTTGATTTTTCTTGGAATTTTTTCTTCCCTTATAACCAACTGTCCTCCTGGGTAGGAAGATGCATTTTGCAGAGTGATTATGAGAGCAAGGTAGTCAGTTCCTCTGTCTGTAGCTGCTGAACTCTCCTATAAAAAACATGACAGTTCAAATGAGAGAGATGGTGAGTTGCATTTAACTCAGTTCTTCTGATACATTTATTCAAGACTTCTTCTTTTGACATTAATCGGTGGCAGCAACAGTAGTTATTGACAATTTAAATACTATATAATTTCATCCTAATAAGGGCAGCTGTAGATGATACAGTAGGTAGCAACCTGACAGCTGTTGTGTGCTGAGCTAGTAACTGTGAGAAAGGTGGGTGTGGGGCGCTAGAGAGGTACCCAGTATCCAGGAGACTTCTCTGCTTCCCCCTGATTATAGAGGGGAAACCTTGCAGTTTCTGTATCCGTCAAAGCAGTGATGCAGCCTTGTCATAAGTTTCTGACAAAAATGTGATTGTCTTTCAAAACTGGAGGTGTCAGTTTTGATCCCCACAAAGTGTAAGCAGTGTCTAGCATTTGAAACTTTCAAAACAGGCAGTATTTTTTTCCCCTAGTCATCTGATTAAAAGGCAACAGGAAAAAGGGTAAGAAAACACTGAAGGGGGATACCAGATACCAGACACAGAAGCCTGTGTATAAAATTATCCTCTATGGCTTATTTTCCTGTAGAGAAGCAGGTGTTAACATGCATTATATAGCAATATGCTGCTGCTCTTTGATTCTACTAAAACTTTGCTGACAGTGAAGCTGCAAAATAAAAATGTAGCTAGCTCTAAATTTCCTCTTTTCTCTTTATTTTTTTTACCATATGATACCCAGGGACTCCAGAAAGCCTTGCTGAGAAGGAAAGGCAGCTCATGGGTATGATCAATCAGCTGACCAGTTTGCGAGAACAGCTGCTAGCAGCTCATGATGAACAGAAGAAACTGGCTGCATCACAGATCGAGAAGCAACGCCAACAAATGGAGCTGGCTAAGCAGCAACAAGAACAGGTGAGTGATTAGTATAGTGGCTTTCAGCTTAGATAATTTTCTAGGAGGGCTTGACAGGAGATTATCTTTTAGGGTTTCCCAAATTTGCTCTCTGACCAGACATTTTTTCCATTTGTTTCTTGGGTGAAGAAGTTTGAACAAAAATCTATTGGAAGAATGATTTGATTTACAGTATGTGAAGTAGAGCTCTGTGTTTTTTAAAGATACATCTTCCAGTTACGTATTATCTTCCAATAGTTGTATTTTAAAGAAAAATAAGTGTAAATAAGCATACAAGTTCATCCCTCCTGAATAATCTTCCAGCTCTGCTTCAACTCAGTGATGCTGAATAAAAGGAACAAAATGTGGCATTTGGGTTATGATATGACAAACAAAGAGGTTAATTTTGCCAACTGTGCAAAAAAAGTGAGGGAGCAGAATATAAAGTCAGTGAATAAGTGTGACTTTTTTTCTACTACACTTGAGAGGCTTGATTTTCAGCTCTCGTAACTATGCCCTCCGTGTAAAACGCAAGTGTTTTCACGCATGAACGGATCCAACAGGCACGCATGGACACATGATATGTTATGCAAGAACACAGCTTTTCTACCATACTTGCACTGTGCAAGTTTTACCAGAAATGAATGGTCATTTTTGTACCTTAACATGAGGAGAGAAAACAGACATCTGGTTTAAAATTTTCTCAGGAGTCCATCCTGATATCTCTTACATGAAAGTATTTTAGTCTGACTGACCATTTATTTGAGATTGTAATGACCTTGGAGTTTATATAATAGAATTGCAGCTAGTGAATTCTATGAAAATCACAAAATTCTTTGAATTCTGTAGTTGTCATACTTCAAGTTTTGCATTATACCGAACAAGTCTTAAGGTTCTAAACCACTGGTCACATCTTCAGACATTTTCCTTATTTTTGGTTATTTATTTTGTCTCAAATACTGTGTATTTTCACCTCACACCTGACATGCCTCATAGGGAGAATAGGAGAAGTGACTTATCTATTAAACTAGAGAACTTGTGAACTAGAGAACATTGGTGTTTGCGTGGATAAGGCAGATGAAGTTGTGATGGTGGAATTGAAAAAGTTACTCCACTGGGATACATCCTGCAGGACCTATTTCCTTTACCCTGCCTTTTAAACTCACTGCTGCTACAGGTTGGCTGAGTGATCTGAAAGTGAAAAAGAAAACTGAGAAAATAGAAAAAGAGAGTAGGAGGTCCTGCGGGATTATTATTAGGACAGCAAAATTTTCTTTTAATTATAAAAATTGTGTATAATTCTGTATTATATAGAAACTAAAATACCTTCACTTAAAAAAAAAAAAAGTATAGATAAAAAATATTTTTGTTGCCTAAAGAGAGGCCCTAGAAAGAAAACATTTAATCTTTCAGATACAGAGTTAACTATGAGTGGGTATTTCTTATGTTAATAGTTTAATAATAGAAATGAAAGAAAATACCTAAGGGAAAGAATGCATAAAATTCCTCCCAATAAGTGTGTTTAAGTTCCCATCTGACCCTGAGGTGTGTACACATACCACAGGGGAAGAACCATGCTCCTTCTAATGTTTGTACTGCTGTGCTAGCTATTCATGAGAACAAAGCTTTTGTGATGACTCAAATGAAAGTTTTTCAGGTTTGCTTTCCAAGTTTGGGGTATATGATGGTTTGTTTCCATTAGACCAGTGTGACCTCTAATTTGGTTCCATTACTGTCTGCTTTTTCCTTCACTGTATGTAAAATGTGTCTATGGTAAGGTTCTCAATCATTCAGTCAGTTGAGAGGGAGGATGGAAGTCCTTATGGAAAATGCACATGACTTTTAGAGGAGACTGACGATGATGCCATCAACTTCAATGTTGAGCTGTGTAGCCTTGCAGTGCCCCCTGAGTTTCTTTCAGCTGATACACACATTGAAAATCCAGTGATTTTCCCAAGCTCTTAAGTTTAGTCTCTTTGTGTCTGTTTCTGCATCAAGGAAATATGAACACAAAGACCTTCCTCCTGGGTGTCAGATTTCCTTTTTTTAAATTTTTGTATAGGTAGTGCCAAACATAAAAAGAGTATTACTGTCCATCCTACTTTCTTGTCTTTCCTGCCTTCTCCTACTACTTCCCAGTTTCTCTGCCAGTATTGTTCTTCCTCCAGCAAGCTGAAGCGAGTGAGTCCTCACTTTTTGAACATTTTAGCAGTGCCATTTCAGATAGTGAGAGAGGACAGATTTTTGTATTAATCCTTCTCTCATTATTTTCTATAAGATTCCCTTTCACACCGGTGTTAGCTATTAATTGCTCCAGCAGCAGTCCAGGCTGCTGTTGCCTGCACTTGAAGATTCCTTAGCTTAATAGAGCAGTTTAAAGAAAAGAGCAGGGTGGAAGTTTCCTGTGTACTGATTCCAGGAATGGTGATACATATCTCACATTTATTCTGTGCAATTTCTCCACAGATTGCAAGACAACAGCAGCAGCTCCTGCAGCAGCAACACAAAATTAACCTTCTTCAGCAACAGATCCAGGTCAGAGACTGTGGCTCCACCCGTGCCCCTGTTATCTCTCTTCCCTCCTTTCCATTTTCTCACACTTTTCCCTCAGCCATTATTATCATAATTTCTTTAAGACTCTCAGCAGATGGCTTACATCTTATTTATGGAAACACATGAGGATGTTACCTGTCATTAAGCAAAAAAGGTCAGTTTCTGGAATGCCTTGTATTATTATGACAGCTCCTGTAGGATCAGGAGGCAGAGAGAAGGAGCTAGTCATGTGAGCAAGGGTTTACAGGACCAAATCCTCTTCCAGCTGTAGATCAGGAGTGGCCAAAGTGTTGCCAGAAAGAGCTGGATTGTTACGAGACTCCTACAACTCTAATTTTGAGGTGTTGCAGAAGCAGTTCTCATCAGTGATTGGTAATCAAGTGTCCCTCCTTCCCTCTGCCCAGGTGTCCCAAAATTTTTGACGCTTTTGGTGAAGTATTGCCTGAATGAAAAGCTGTTTGAAAAGTTGATTAGACTCAGGAGAGCAATTGTGTAGGTCCTTGGAATCTACAGGTTTATTTCTAGTAGTAGAAAAAAGTTGTTCACCCAGCGTAACCAGTTAGCTTTATTTAACCTCTTTTTCCTTAAAACATTCAGAGGTTTCTTTTTGTGCCATTGACTGTATTTCATTACTTTTCTTCCATTTGTATATATGCATGCCCCTGTTTGGGGAATTATGCAAATCAGTTTGCTCAGGGAGATTTTAAAAGAATAACAAAGGAGGGGTTTGACATTTCACAGATACCTAGAATCATGGTAAAATTTCTGGCTGTTTTAGTATGCAATTATGTGTAAAGCATTGGAAGTTGCTGTGGAAGTGGATGCTAAGTTCTGTGTTCAACAGGATTTTCCTTCCAAAGCTCCTCTTTAATGTATCAGAACTAGTTGCCTGAAATTATGGGCCACATGGGTAACTCATCTAAGAAAACTTAATTCCAGCAAAATCAGAGAAGTTGTATGGCTTCACACTCGAAGAAAAACTGACTCTATAATTTTGGAGGATGTTAGGCAGTACCAGGACTAGTGCAACTATGAAAAACTTCTGGGAAAGTCCACCCCTCTCTTACAAGGCAACTTATATACAAGATGTGCTTTGCTGAAAATAATTTTGAGATTGGTAAGGCCTGGCCTGGCCTTGACCTCTGTAATTTTTTTCTTCTTTAAATTTGTGTGTGGGAGGGATTTTTCTTTATTGCTGTATCTTTAACAAGACTTTAAAAGAAAAACAATAGTAGAACCTCTACAAGGAAAGTATTTACATTTTTAGCATTTAGCTATGGCAGTGAAAAAGGAAGTTGTTTTATAAGCAGTGAATAAAAATAAATTGAAGTAACATAATTTGACCCCAACCCTTTTAAGTTTTAAGGTCTTGTAGATAAGAATGAAGTATGTAGTTTTTTAGGGTAGTGGAGAACTGATTATTGATAATGAGATATAGAGCCTTTCATCTCTTGATCCCTGGTCCAAGTTTGACCTAAGTCAGTAGTAAATGAAAGTCAGCTAGCTACCATCTGATAGAAGCTGCAAGCCTAAGAAATTATTTGGAGGTCTGTCTCAGGGGATTTTGGATGAAATATTGACCCTGCTGAGGTCAGAATTTCACCTCCAGGGTCCACTTCATACAAAACCCATCAGATTTAGGGCACCCTCCTTTTGGATGTTCATGTGATAAAGGTCAAGAATTGGACAGGCAGAGAGACAGTACTGTCCTCTCATTCTCACAGAGATGATCTGTTTGTAGTGAAATTTTGATTATACTGTCTGCCTGTTGACAGTTCCATGGTCTGTATGGTCTTGCAGTCTCATGAACCCTGGTTGCAGTCCAGTTACTGTGAAGTCACTGATAGGGAAAACATTTTACAAATAAAAAACCCCTTATTGACAGTGAATAAAAGCAAAACATTTCTTCTCAGTTGCGTGCTTGGTTGGCTGTTGTCAGAGAGAAGAGACAATTCTTGAAGAAATCTGCCTTTGTATATAAATTGAGACAATGAAGTCATCCTAACATGGCCATGTTTGAAACAGACTGTGAGTTTACGGTCAGGTTACAGTAGGTGGAACAAAACTGTGACATGAATGTAGCTGTGAGTTCAGCTTTTCTGACCTTGTCCTAATTAATCTAACAGTCTTCTGTCACATTGGCCCAGAGTTTTAAAACAGCATTAGATTTATTGACAGGGAAATATTCCTACAAAGTCTGGATAGCTGTTTGACTTACGTGCAATTGAATGATTAGGCTGCAGTTACGAACACAACATATTTATGACAAAGGATTCATTTTACTTGAGCCAGTTTTTTCTAAGAGTTGCCATAATTCCAGATAAATTATTACACAGAAAAAAGCTATTGAAATATTGTATTGAAAACATAATACCCTAAGGTTAAAAAAAAGCAGAACCTAACTGACCCCGTGATTTATGACTCCTTTCTCTAAGTGCGCTAACTTGGAAACAGTTCCTTCTCTCCTTACCCTAGCATACAATCACCAATAACGCGTACAATATGTAAGCAGGGAGAAACTGCAACATGTCTCTCCTCCTTAGAGGACTGTAGATGCTGAGGATAACTACAGCTCAATTAAACTAACCGCTTCTGTGATGCCGAAGAAAAATGCATTAGCTACTTAAGCTTAGAAAAATGTACCTGGCACATGAGCCTCTAATTGACATTATGTCTTTTTCAAGTCCATCTCTTCTGAATTAACTGGAAGAAGGTGTCACTAAGGCAGAAGACAAACAGCTTATCTTCATAGTGAGAGTTAAGTAAAGAGATAATGCTAACCTGGAGTAAACTTGCAGATGAGATTAAATTTAAGAATCTGTATGACCTTAGAATGCTATAAAATGTAACCTAGGCAGGATTTTGTGTTTTGGCAAATATTTATGATTTTTTTTTTTTTGCTTTTCAGGATGTTCTAGATGTAATTTGTGAAGAGGTTTGAGTTTCTCTGAATAATTAACTAACCCACCCCATTTTATTTTATGCCACTTTGGAATGCACCTTCTCATGCACACTGCTTTCTGTTCTATTTAATCTTTGTGTGTATGTGTATTGAAAGGGTTTTCACTTGTAACAGTTTTTGTCTGCTGAGTAGTTGGGGTCTTCTTACCTGCACACCTCTATTTTACCAGTAATGAAGTTGTAATGTGTGTTCAGTCAACTCTTGTGCATCAACAGCCATTAAGATCTCAGGTTGTGTTTCAGAACAACTCTGTAGTAGTCTAAAGCTCTAGAACAGACTGAGGAGAGCACGTGCATTCACCAAGTTCTTGGACTAAACCTAGTTTTGTCCTTCCGTGTCTCAGGGAAACTCTGATGGTCACCACCTCATCTTTTGTGTGGCCACAATCTGCTTCCTGGTATCCTTGCTCCAGTGCATGGCAAAGTCTGTAGCTGGTGGGCAGACAGTGAAAGAAACTGAAGGCTACATGCTCCTTTTTCGTGACACTGACCTTGTCCCCAGAACTGGCAATGGGCATGTATCCAAGATACAAACATCTTTGGGTGGTGCAGTTTACACTTTTCACTTGTTCAGAGAAAAAGTCTAGCCCAGGTTGACAACTGAATAGTTTGCTTTGAAGCTTAGTGGAGAATGTCACTTTAATTGAACTATACTGAAAATGAAATCTGATTGTTAACATTCATAAAGCAATTCATATTCAGTAGGGCACTGTTGATAAAATAGGTCAACTTTGCAGCCTAAATTGTGATAAAACTGATGCTGCTCATGTCACAGTTCTGTAGAAAGGCTGACAATGTTTTATGTTTTTCCCTCAAGCCCCAGCTCTTGGAGTCATGTGATGACAAAAATGCCAGCTTTCATTTCTTCAAAATGTAAACTTTCAGTTCTCAAATTTCCAGGCAAAATCTGAAACCACAAGCACTACCAAGTTCCAAAATTAGAAGGCAAACAAAAACGGAGGCCAAATGTTTTTTAAACTGTTCTGATTTTTAGTCAGAATTTTTTTGGAGAGCCCAGCATAAGATCTTGGAACGCTTCAGGTTGCCAATAATGTAAAACTAAGATTTCTAAGCAGCAAGAAGCAACAGTGCTGCTTTACAATATCTCTAACATTTGGACCACCGTTTTGACTTTTTAGTTTAATATTTCCAGTACTTTGGTCACTAATTTTTATTAATTTCTGGGTGATGCACTTAGCCCAAGAACTGAGTGCTATCTGAAATCTGAGAGGAATTCCTGCCAGACAGCAACCATTTGATGACTCTGTGTGTTTTAACAGAGCATTGGCTTTTTATTTCAGAGCTAGGGACTTGTCATCAGATGTTCTAATGGGATTTCTGTGAGAAAGCTTGGACCTCTGAAGAATGAGAGGATCCTGACTAAATTCTCATGTGGAGCTAGAAAGGCATGCCTCTGCCTGCTCTTCACTTGCCTGGTGGGAGGTAACTTCTGCCTGGTGCTTGGTCAGATGGTGCATGCAGCTCCAGGGCCTGGTGGCACCTGGCTTGGAGGCCCTGCTCCCAGCCAAAAAGCTTACTGTGGTCTTGATGGCCTCAGGCTTTGTAGAACCTTAGCCTCTTGTCTGGCAGGGAGTTGTGCACGCATGGCCCTCCAGAATCCATGCCCATTTAGGTTCCAGGCTTCCTGGTTTCCCTGAATCCCTCAGCTGCCCTGGGTATCCTCCCAGCTCTAAATAAGGCTTTTCCTTTTGAGTCTGAATCCAGATTTCCATCCTCCCCACCCACTGTCAGCTGGCTGCATCCCTTTCCCCATGGGTTGTGTTGGTAGATGGAGAAGCCTGGCTGCGCTAGTATGTTCCCAAATCAGAATATTCCCATTCTCATTAAGTTCTGAGGTTAAATGTGTTGTTCCAGTTTGGAATGTAATAAAATCTTGAACACTTGGAATTTCCTGCAGAATGGTTAGTCCCTTTTGTAGCCAGATCTGTTTTTCAAAATCTAGCTATACTTTTGGGGAGGAAAGAAGGATTTGGTTTCCGAGTTACACAGAAGTTCAGAAA